CCGAATAAGCGTAATAAAGCTAATCGCAGCGCTCCAAGCGGTAGGTTGCGTAGAAAGCAGCTGCGTTGTTGCTTTTGGTTGTCGAATAAATAAACTCCGCATAAAAACGTACATTCAATACTCCCACCGTATGAACAAAGGTGACGAAGAGAACGACATTTTTCCCTGTTTTGGTTTGTGTGGCTAATAAAAATACTAATAGTTGACTGAAAAAAATGTTTCCTCTTTTTAAATCATGGGCATTGCTCTGTTCCTTTCCAAGGTTTGTTACATCATCCGAATATTCCCACGCACTTTACATTCCCAGCAGTTTCACTACAGTAAGATACAGCATGATCTTAACCTCGTAAAATAAGTGATAGGCCTAGAAAAAAAAATGTTTTGTTTCCTATTACATGCTAAAAAAAGAATAGGGAAAGTAGGAAGGCATTTTTTTACCTTTTTTTACATCCTCGAAAATAGGATAGGTAGGTGGAGTATTGGTCTGATTGGATTCTGTCACTGTACTCTTTGCTCCACTGGTACTTTCAACTTCCTCGAAGCATTTTAATTTAGGCCTACAGTGAAATTCAATTGATTTGACAGCGAACGTGTCTACTAATTGGTCTATCCCAATGTGCATTGAAACTTCGCCTAGATCAACATGTGTTGATGTCTGCTCATATTCATTTGAATCTAGTTTAGGATGGTATGACTCAAAGACGTCTTTGACTGTTCCAATAAACCGTGACACTGTCTTTTATTAGGGATACATGTGGGTATTTGTTAAAGACACTAACATTAGGGTCGGTCGGAAAATGAATTTTTTTGGGGGGAAGCGTTGAAAAAACTTTAGGGTCAGGCATTTTTACGTAGGGTTGGTCGTGTAACGGGAAACAAAGTTTTTTTTTTTCCTAGGCTTTACCAAGAGATATAGTGAATATAACTTTCTCAGTAGTTTCACTATTGTTGTATACTCAGACAATGTCATCACTGGTATTTCGCGCACGTAAGTAAGTGCGAAAAATAAACCAAATATAGAGCAGAAAAGTATCTCAAATATGTTAACACCTTAGCCACACAACAAAAAATTCAGATTGCACCATGACTAAAAACACCTAATTCTTCTAATCCTGAAAGCCATTCTGGAACAGGCAGCTTGGTAAGCGCTATAAAACTAGCCGCCAGATGGCGCGGTTGACATTTCATTAGCTTAGAGAGGTAGGGTTTGCTTGTTTCTTTGTTTGTTTCAGCGCAATACTGTCTCTTTGTCTGCTTGTTTGAAGTTAATCACAAAACTACACAATGGGCTATCTGTTCTCTGCCCACCACGGGTATCGAGATACGGTTTCTGGCGTTTTAAGTCTGCAGACATACCGCTGTGCCACTGCGGGGCGTTTTAGCGCAAAGTTACACAACAGGCTACCTGCACTCTGTCCACCACGAGGAATCGAGCCCCGGATCTTATCGTTATAACTCCGTTAAATTACCCCTGACGCACTAGAGGATTTTTTAGCGATATAGAGTCTTTGTTTGCTGTTTGTATATAACAATAAAGAAAGAAGAACAAAATACACGATTCAATTTAAACGAAATCCGAGATTTCTTTTTGTAGCCTCGACTAACTAATATAAATTAAGCTAATGCTGATGTTACAGTGGACAACAAAAACAACTGCCATACTACTCTTCATGTTCTCAGTACAAAGTGTGTCAAGGCCATGTTTCAATATCTAGAGATCAAGCGCAATGCATAGTTAATCATATAGTAACGGCAAGAATCAGAATTTGCTAGACTTGAAATAATCAAAATCAAGTTGATTAATAATTTGGAAGATCTAAAAAGATGTCAATCAGTGGTAGATTGAAAACTTCTGCATCAATTAGAATATCTATCATCTTTAATAAACAAATAATTCGTAGTTATAATGATATAGTTAGATACAAAAAACACAACATGTATTAAAGGAGACGAAATAAGAACACATGAATAAGAGTAAATTATAAAAGACAGAATTTGGATATTTATCTCTCTACAAAAACACATAAGACAAGAAAGTTCGTATGGTTAAAAGTCCTTGTAAGAGCATACAAATATTTCACCTTATATGTATCGTAACGAATTGTGATGAATGATGTAACATAACACAAGAAAGCGTTAATTAAACTTGTGTCTCTTTCTGTTATTCTAGTGACAGCCATATTCAGAAATGTAAATAAAAAACTATCTAGAAACGTTTAAGTATTTAGTTGAACATGTTTTCTATACTCTATATGGCAGTTTAGGATTGCGAAAAGTTTCAGCTGATCATATATATAAAATAGTATAATGGTAAAACGTTTCAATCAGTATAATGTATTGTATTAAAAATATATTAGTAAGTAGTTTCAACAGGTTTTACTAACATGTTGAATAATATAACTGTTAATGAAAGCATCAAAAATTCAAAGAGCCATATATTTATATATATAATTATATATATATATATATATGTGTGTGTGTGTGTGTGTGTGTGTGTAACACCTTGATAGATACTGTTATTTCCACTAGAGACGTTAAATTTGACCTTACTGAAACAAACATGCGGAAATATAACATTTTGTAATAAGGATAACATAGTTAAAGCTGTTTAATCATTATCCGTGTTGAAAACCAATAGAACAAACTTTTGTGATTAAAATATCGTAAACTGCAGATGATGCTTTCCCGTTGTTCTTTTTAATTTATTCATACGGATTCCTAGTTAGAGGTTTATAAAAATTAGCATTTAAGTTCTATCTTTTGTTTGCCACTAGTCACTGAGAGGATTGAAATGTTATTTTTACAAAGCTCTGACTTGGATAAATTAAAAGAAACGTGGGATAAAACGTCTTCTGTTTACGTGATTATTATGATACGTTTTGCTCCAATTGGTTTACAGTTATTCGACAGCTTTTGATTTATAAACCATAACATTATTAGTAATATCGTAAACCATCTATTTATCTGACTTTTAGTGTTACAAGCCTTGTTTTTTGTAATTAAGCACAATGCCACACAATGGGCTATCTGTGATCTGCCCACCACGGGTATTGAAACCCGGTTTCTAGCGTTGCAAGCCCGAAGACTGTGCCATTGGGATGCTTGTTACAAGCCATCAAGCTTATCCTTGACCCACCAGCTGGATAATGGCTAAATAAATGCTTAAATAACTAGAATACTTTAGCAATTTTAAAGATAACCAATGGTTAAACTATTTTGATAGTATCCATAAAACATTTCCATTAATGGAAAATAAGTGTTATTGTTCCTCAATTTCTGGTTACTTAAATAAACCCAAATTTAATTAAACTTTGAACATTAGTCCATTGACACTTGCCATAGAACAAGCTAATATTTCACTAAATAATTCATTTATGAAAAACATTTACTATATTATACTTTATTTGGTTCAAATAAACTCTTAAACACTTATTTTAATAGGCCTTACATGGCGAGGTGGTTAGGGCGCTCGACTTGCAATCGCGGGATTGGAATCCCCATCACACCAAACGTGCTCGCCCTTTCAGCCTTGGGAGCTTTATAATGTGACGATCAATTCGTTGGTAAAAAGAGTCTTACACTGCTAAATTAGGGACGGCTATCGCAGATAGTACTCGTGTATCTTTGCGCGAAATAAAAAAAACAAACTTATTTTAATGAGGTACCATATTCTAATGTATGCCTAGCCACGTTATACTCCCCTACTATCAATGAACATGTCCTTATTATAGTTATGACGCAATTAATATTTTCTCCATAATTAAGTGCAAACATATTTTGTCGGTCGTTGTCATGATTAGTAACCTAATTAATTACTTTTTAATTGAAATTTTGTATTTTAATATACTCAGAGTGGCTTTAACCATTAATCCACAATTTAAGTAAGGAAAATTTTAGCACATTTTATCCCCTTTTTTAATTCTATCTACCTGTTAAAACTTGGACGGCATAGGGAAAAAATCAATGTAAAAAAATATATTTTGATCGGTAGTTTGTGTCACATTATATCGAAATAAGACTGGTAATAATTTAGAAAACAAATCTTTCTTTACTGGCTATATATTGATTTGCAGTAAGAATAATACTGTACAATCTCAACTACACATTCGGTATGACAAACTCTACTAGAAGCTTTTCTCCTAATATCAGAGTTGATAAGGTTGGCTGGGTATGCAGAACTCTAGCTTCGATTGACATGATGATCAGTGATATTTGAACAAAAGCCCTCGTCGGAAGCAGTGTATGTAAGATATGCAGCCGAAATGCCACTAAGTTTTTAATGGAAATCCGTATACTGTCAGCTCTTCTGAATAATCATGCAATTTGAAGGTACCCTTTAAATACGCTCATCATAACTTTGGCTTCCTGAATTTACATCCTTACTTCTATACCATTTTTGAAGTTCTGAAAAAAATCATAATAATGTTGTTTTCACACTAGTTGTCTCGCCTACTAGTGGCTCAGTGGTAAGTCTCTGGTTTATTTTGTTTGTAATAAGCACAAAGCTACACAATGGGCTATCTGTGCTCTGGCCACCACAGGTATCGAAACCCGGTTTCTAGCGTTGTAAGTTCGCAGACATACTGCTGTGCCACTGAGGGAGGGGGGCGGTAAGTCTCTGGACTTATTATGCTAAAAATTTGTTTTCGATACACATGCTGGGCACAGCCCAGATAGCCCATTGTGTAGCTTTGCTCTTAGTTACAAGCAAACCGTGCATTAGCTCATTAGCTTATTTTTTTTATACTTTCAGAACGTTTTAACGTAATTGCACATGTTTTAGGAGTTCATAGATAGCATTTAGAATGTATCTAAATTGTTATTGGCGATAAACAAATTAAAGGTTCAAAAGCTCTTTTTTAGTGACAAAAATATGAGAATTTTGCGTAATTTTCAATAAGCTATTCATGAAACTTCATAAAAATCAAATGAAAACCCCGTCTATAATTTAGTTGATTCAAAGAAACAGCACCCTATGTCGCTAAGAATATCAAAGTTTTTAATATTTCTATTTCAATTTACCTCTTCCATAAATGTTTACCCTAATAAAATAAATATAACACAGAGTTAAATATGCATCTAATTTTCACATAGGTTTATTTTTTGTTGTCAAACTTCATATCCGAGTACTTCTCAAACAAACAATTTAATAAGTTTAACAAAAACATTTATTATACAAGTAATACCCAAATTTTTCTTTTCAACAAACTACGTGCAACATGCCTAATCCTTTAATACTTCAAATTAATAGAGCTAGGCTCTGCTACATACAGAAATGGTTATTATTTGATTTCTAGACTTAGTGGGTTGTCTGGAAAAAGTATGATCGGTCGAAAGGTTTAAATAAATTTGAAATACAATCTTTGAAAATTCCTATTTCAGAGAAACGTAAAATAATATATATTAACGTTTTTGAAGTTCATCAGCATATGTTTTCAGATTCACCTTCATTGCGTAATCAGCAAAAATATATAAGCAAATGTAAAGTTTAAAGTTTAAATTTCTCTTCATGTGTTATATTTAGGACACAGGTGCAACAGTGAGATATTGTTTCTCGATTTCCCAACAGTGACATATGTTTTATTTGCTAGATAAAAACTAATTTTATCTTAATTTTCTACACCTTCAGTTTATTTTTTACAATTTTTTCAGTGAAATGTAAATTCGAATTATATGCAATTGCTTAATTACTAAAAATATACCAATATTTTAAAAACATACGCCAGCACAGAGGATATAAGCAAATTATTTTGCTCTATACTAAAGATTTATATCCTAATGGTAATATCTGTGGCTTCTGAAATCTATAGAACCTTTTATACATTTATTTATTGGCTCCTCTGTCTTACCACAAAAGGTATGTTTTCTTTGCATGTTCATAATGTGGTTTTCCAAGAAAATAAGAATATTCGTTTTAATATGAAAAATCAAATCACAAAATTTACTATAGACCACTTCTATCAAAATTAGTTTCTTCATTATACACTTCGTTATCAAAACTGAGGGGCTCCTTGGCAGCTCGTGAAAATAACAAGAAATCTTTTGGTGTTTTCCAACGTTTCCAGATAATGTAGCCAATTCCTATAAATAGGCTTGTCAACAAAACACAGGTTATAAAAATTCCACAGATCTCACCAGCTTGCAGTTTGGAACATTGATCTAAAGAAAAAAATAAACAATGGCCAGTAGATCTACAAAAAATACTGTAATATTCTACCACATAAACAATGTATTGTGAATAGAATTTGTGTTCACTGGGAAACTAAAAATATAGAGTGTTCTCCAACGTACTAAATAACTAACCCTGAATTCCAAAAAGAATAAATACACTGTACATAGGTATTCATACGTGTGTGTGTGTTACGAATAAAGTGCAAGAAGGAAAAGTATTACGTATTACTATAGCAAAGAGTAAAATTATATTCAAATATATTATGGTTTTAATGTTTCAAATGGTGACTTTAATACTTCTTTGGTTATCTGTAGTTAGTTTTATTAAATTAATCGAATAACGGAATGTGAAGGTTTACAAATTCAAAATCTGTATGACACTGGTTATTGGCTCCTAATCTCGCAACGTTACACTGTCGATGTATTTTTACACTTTACTGACATCATACAAAATCAAAATACAACTTTACCTTTTTTAGTTGTGTCTACCATTGAGATTTCATCCTTGACAGCCTCTGGAAAGTCAAATAAAACTGAAAAGTATAAACACGTCATTCTTAAATAAGTGTATAAAGAGTAAGAATCTTTTATTTCTAACTCTTATGTACTTCAATTATTGTACTTGCGTTATTTTACGAAATGAAAGTAAATACATTAACAACAATAACAAGTTGGATGTAATTTACACGTAAACAAGGGTTTTTTCTAAACTATCATTTTCACCATAGTTAGTGTAAAAAATGACATTAATGGTTGACCTAACGGAAATAATCAAATCGGTATAGTAAGCAATATTAAGGAAAACAAAAAGAGTAAGTTGCCAGTAACTACATAACTTATTTTCTAAATCTAATGTGAATTTAACTTAAGTGCTGGAAAAACAACATTATGGTTACCTTTTTTACTCATACAGATGTATCCGGCCAATAATGAACAGTCTTTGTCGTACCACGTAAGGTTTTCTGCAATTTGAACACACTGTTCTTTCAAGTTATCTGGTTCATTATCAGCCCAAAAGACGAAATTCACTGGTCTGCTGTCGCTCCATATAAATCCCCCTAAACACATTCAATATGAATCATCGTTATACTTGTTTGTTTCAGAATTTTCAAGAAAAGCTACATAACAAGTTATCTCTACATATGTGTCTGATCTTGAACTGACAGACCAGAGAGAACAGAGAGTCAATAAGATCCGCTGCCAACTTTAGGGCTATTCTTGTCTGACCGAATAGTGGACTTTGACTGTCACTCTTACAGCAAAACCACTGCCCCGAAATGTGGATCACTTTTTTTGGATCCACAGTTCGAGCACTACATTATTTTATTTTATAATATACCGTAGCTTTCATTAGAAATTACAATAAACTTAAAGTTAAATACACACACATATACATACATATATATATATATATATATAGATATAAACACATACATATATATATATAAACTTCAAGTAAAATACACATACACACACCTATATATACAAATTGAGAGAACCTGATACCTTAATATTTAATGAAAACAGCTTAAGACTGGAATGTGATTTTTTATAAGATATATCACTGTTATATGTTATATACAATAAAAGCATCTTAATATTTCAATAAAATCGGATTCCAGGTCTTCATTAACACCGAAAATCAATAAGATTCGAGTTGAATTAAAATCATAGCAGTGCTTAAAAATGCAAAAATAATAACGGCTAACCGTTTTTCAACCTGACTGAGAACCGTTTATTTACCGATTTACTTGAATAAAACACCCCAGAGACTTTTCACCGCACACAATCTAAACACCGTGATGAATAGTGACGACACTCACACAATCTAAACACCATGATGAATAGTGACGACGCTCACACAATCTAAACACCGTGATAAATGATGACGACACTCACATAGCCTAAGCACCATGATGAATGGTGACGACACTCACAAAATCTAAACACCGTGACGAATAGTGACGACACTAACACAATCTAAACACCGTGATGAATAGTGACGACACTCACACAATCTAAACACCGTGATGAATAGTGACGACACTCACATAGCTGAACACCGTGTTGAATAGTGACGACGCTCACACAATTTAAGCACCGTGATGAATGATGACGACACTCACACAATCTAAACACCATGATGAATGGTGACGACACTCACACAATCTAAACACCGTGATGAATGGTGACGACACTCACACAATTTAAGCACCGTGATGAATGATGACGACACTCACACAATCTAAACACCATGATGAATGGTGACGACAGTGCAGTCCCAAACATCAAATAACAAATGGTATTTCATTGATTTAAGCAGATTTCTTACATTCACTTCTTCCTCACTACATGCATCATTATATTAGAAAGTCTTCTAGTATTTTGTGTAACATAATTAAAACTCACCATCATGTTTCCTTACGAGTCCACTCCATAAACTATGTAGATTTTGAAACTCCCTTCTAAAACTCAGTGAGATCATTATAAGTTCTGCTTTTGAGTGAATGCTTACCAAACTACCACCTGTATAGACAAGAAAAAGTAATTAAATATAAAAAACTATCATAATTTTCTTTAAATGTAAAGTTTTATAGTTCTCATCGTGCATAACATGACTTAAGACAAACTAAATTACTGGGTTTTACCGACAAACAAACTTAAGTGTAATTTTGAAGGTTATAGCTTTTGTTAAATCTTGCCTGGAAGATCTTTGTATACCACATATATTCTAAACCCAATCAACTTTTTTTTTCTTCTGCAGTTGTGGTTTGATATATATTTGTCGTAAGAATATTAACAAATAAACAAAATAACATATTCAGATTTACAGTATATAATATAAGGTCTTCTTGATCCTAAAACATCAAAAACGAGCATTCAAATAGATTTAGTTTAAAAAAACTGAACAAGTAAAATTGTAAAAAAATAAATTAATTATATTCCTGATACAATAAGTTAAAAACATCCAAATTAATATATTTATTTTCAGATGTTGTATACTAGCACCCGGAGCTACAGTTCCTAACACACACACAAAATCAACAATTCTGATTCAATATTTTACTTGTGTAAAACGCCCAACCTTGTTGAAAGCATGCTAGATTTGCATCAGGCCATGATACTTTATTTGTCTCAACAAAATAACAGTATTCTCCACCAAGATCTTTCCAATGAGAGAGATGACGTGGGCATTTTCCCTTGGCTAAGTTGAGAAGTTCTGGTGGTTTCTCTGTTATGAAATTGAGAAGAAAAAATATTATCATTGAAACTGGTGCATTACAGTGATACAAAATCACATTAATAGCTTGAAAATCACAAGTGAAATATATACATATTTGTTGTGTGTGTACACTATGATACCAGAAGTATCTGAACAGTTCAAACTAACGAACCCATTTCAAATTTCAGATAAGGTCTTTGCTTACATTTAGCGTTAATTGCAGCCTTGAGGATGTTACTAACATTTGCTGCCACTATTTGGTGCATTTTAGATGGCGTACAGTGTCATTTCTCTTGCAAATTAGCTTCAAATCAGTGAGATTATAGGGTTTATATTTTGTGCCCATGGGGCAAAGCTATTTGTTAATATTCAAGTTTGGTTTCTTTCCAAGTTGAGGCAAATTTTGAACGTTATTTGTCTCAAAATTCTTCTTGAGACAACAGACTGAACGATATGGTACATTGTCGTGCTAAAAGAAATGCGTTCTTTCCCTTAGAATTATATTAATGCAATCAAAGCAACAAAACCCAAAATGTTATAATACAGCAAAACATTCATAACTCCCTTAACCATTTCTCGTGGGTCAAGTAGAAACCAGTTAAACAAGCCAACATCATGACAAAAGGTTACAATACAACAAAGTATTCATAACT